AATAAGCACAGAGTGGGTTTGCTTGATTTGAATTTGTATTTCAGTGTTGTTTTTCCTTTTAAAAATTTTGTAAATGCGTAATTATTCTTTAAATTTTATCGCTTTTGTAAATTATTCTATTTAGATAAGCAAGACACATCTGTTCGTTGCGATAAGAATCAGGCCAAAATTAATTAACGCACGTGTTGCATCTCTGTTAAAAGATAACAAAGGGATAAGGTGTTGCGAAGAATTGCGCGTTTCAGTGCGGACATTTGGCGCGTTATGTCGTTGATTGGCCGTTGATTTAAAAATTCGTAAGTTTATTTTTTGGTGGAAGCGGTGTTTTCTTAAGTACGGGAGACAATGAGAAAACGTGGCTGTTGCTAGTTTTCGCGACGCACGGTTGAAAAGCGTGTACTGTAACATTTTAATTTTTAGTTGAATTTTTAGTCCAAAAAAAAAAAAGGAATTGTTACGTGCGCCGGCAGCTATCGTCGGTCTTGGGCTTATCGGTTCCCTTGAACACTGGGGCGTCTGGGCGCCACTCAACCTTAATGATAATAACAAATTTACGGGGTTGAGACCGTAACACAAAAACCAGTTTATTTACATCAATTAGAGTAGTATAAAAATGTGAAATTTTTTAATACTAAGAAGAGTGTTAGTAGATTGGTGATACTATTTACTATTGTACAGAAAAAGAAAAAAAAGGGGCCAATTTAGCAAACGATACCGTCTAAAAAAAATGGAACGAACTCGCCTTATTTTTGAGTCGCTATCTTATCTTCTGTGAAGTTGGAGTTGAACCATCCGCAATGTTGGCGTGAGATTCGGTGATTGGAAATTAGACAGTGTTGAAAAGAAACGCTGCTGTTTCTGTCGCAGTAAAAATCTGGATTCTCTAATTATTCTTGTGCAGGATATAGGCTCAATTCAATTTCTTATAGTACAAAAAAAAAACCCTGAAATAACGTATATTTGTAGTTGAATGCATTGTTAGTGAAAAAGAGGATCGCAACTCACCTCGATGAGGGTTTTTTCAAACACAAAAAAAATTACTACAAAATGTGGGCAGCTTGCGGCCAATAAAATCGGTATCAATCTGGTACGCCAAATACAATATTCGATCTCGTTCTCGTGGATCGCTCGCATTCCTTTTTCATTTCCACTTCTTATCGAAGTATATGCGCACAGTTTCATAAATTGATTTAACGTTATTTGTGGTAAGGGTACCATTGGTATAGGCAACCAAACTTACATAAAATTAATTATATTTAAAAATAAATACTACAACACCCCCCTTCTTGAAAGAAAAAAAAGGAAATTATTCATAATTTTCTTTTTTTTTTTCTTTTTGTTAATTATAATGAGCTGAAACAGCCTTGGGAATTACCTACCTACCTACTATACTGGTTAATAACACTAAATACTTAATATTAATAGCTGATACCCTAATTATTGACTAGCCAATGGACGGACAATTTACTACTAAACAAACCAAAACAAAAATTTTACAGGCAAACTAATGGCAGTGGTCGGTAACTACGCGTACCACACGTCCACAAGGGAGACCAAGTAGGGAATTGACACAATTATGAGGTTGACATTGTAGGTGAGAGTCAATACCGCCAACAGTAGCCCTGTTACAACCTAACAACCTATACTTAATAATAAAGACACTTACATGACAGATACATCAGAATTTGATCCCAAATATTGCTTTAGGTCCTTGATGTGCCAATTGCCATCATCAGATCCATCTAATTTTTCTAAATTGTACACTAAATTTGAAATTTTTTCTTTAACCTTACATAAAACAAATTTTGGTGTAAGTTTACTCGAAAAGTTTTTACTGGCGTCCGACAGCACCATATTTTTCCGCCAAACCTTTTCACCTACTTTAAAAACATACTCGCGCTTCCTTAAATTATAGTGACGCAAGTTGCGTTCATAGCTAGTTTGTAATTTATCTTTAATATGTACATATATTTTTGATAAATCTTTGATGCGGGACACATAATCTTCCACATTTCCTTCTACCGGCATGGTACCGTTATAATAATTACCAGATATTGGTACGTAACGACCAAACACAAGGAATGACGGACTGTACTTTGTTACTTCATGCTTAGCCGAATTTATAGCGAATTGTATTTTTGCTAGCTCTTTATCCCAATGCTTGTGGTTCCCTTTAATGTAACTTCTAATTGCAGTTCCCACTGTGCGATTGGTTCGCTCAATAAAGTCACATTGTGGAGAATACTTTGGAGTAAACAAAATTTTTTGGACACTATATTTTTCTGCCATGTCGCGAAAAACTGATCCGGCAAATTGAGACCCGTTGTCACAAATAATGTATTTAGGAACTCCATAAATTAAAAACAAATTTTCCTCCATATGCATTACAATTTCGTTAGCTGTCGCTTTTCTAAGGGGGAACAACAACGTATATTTGGTGAACCAGTCGCCAACTACAAGCAAATATGAGAAACCCTTAGTGGACCTGGGTAAAGGGCCGATAATGTCTGCAGCTACGATCTCAAAAGGATATTCCGCTCTTTTAGGTGCACCCATCTTTCCCATTCGCCCTTTCGACGAAACTTTCTGAGACCCACAAATGTCACATTTCCTAATATAATTCAAAATATCGTACCTCATTTGTGGCCAGTAATACAACTCCGAAACACGACCAAGTGTCTTATAAAAACCAAAATGACCACTAGTTGGAGGACTATGACATTTATCAATTGTACCGATTCTCTGAGCTTTTGGAACCAAAAGTTTCCACTCTCTAATGTTTGATTTAAAAGGCAATTTTGAGGGAACGAACTTATAGACTAGATTTTCGATCACTTTCCACTGAGGATACTGTTCTGGGGATGCGGATATTTTATTTCTAAGGTTCAAGTACCAACAGTCTAAAGTTTCATTGACGATGTTGAGGTCATCATCTACGGTTGTACTAGTACTACCGCTTAAACAGTTGATTTCTGCAGGATCGCCTTCCTCAGGAATAGCTCGAGATAAGGCATCTGGGACTATATGGTCTTTACCCTTCCTATGAATTAAATTAACTGTATGTTGACGTAATCTCACCGCCCATCGCGCAAGTTTTCCAGATGGATTTTTCATGTTGTTAAGCCATAGAAGACTATAGTGGTCTGTGATCACATCGAAACTGACACCTTCAATGTAAGGCCGAAATTTATCTATACTAAACAACACTGCCAAGCATTCTTTCTCAGTTGTGGTGTAATTACGCTCCGCACTAGATAATGATCGACTTGCGTATGCTATAACACGTTCTTCTCCATTAACAATTTGGGTTAAAACACCGCCTAAACCGGTATCTGAAGCATCACACTGTATGGTAAATTTTTCTGAAAAGTCGGGCTGTGATAAAATTGGTGCTGAAGTTAGAGCCTCTTTGATTTGAATGAATGCACGTTCTGCTTGCTCAGACCATAAAATCTTTTCTTTCTTTTTGCGCCCCTTTAGAAGATCGTTCAACGGAGAAACTAGCGAAGAAAAGTTTTCGATGAACCGCCTGTACCACCCACACATGCCAATAAATCGTTTTATTTCAGTTGTGGTACGAGGACGAGGATAATTAATCATTGCGGTGATTTTGTCAGGATCAGCTCGTAGAGAATTCTCTCCCACAATAAAACCAAGGTATTTCAAGGAAGATCTGAAGAACTTACATTTATTTAAATTCACCGTTAAGTGCGCATCTTTTAACCGACTGTAAACCAATTTTAACAACCTGACGTGTTCATCGAAGGTCTGGGATATGACAATGATGTCGTCAATGTATGGAAAAATAAAAGGTTCAAACTCAGGACCGAACATGCTATCAACCAATCTTTGTTGAACTTGAGCAGCATTGCGCAAACCAAATGGTAAAACTGTAAATTGAAAGAGTCCTCTTCCCGTAATCGCGAATGCCGTCTTTTCCTTCGAAGACTCCTCGAGAGGGATTTGCCAAAAACTTTTGCGTAGATCTATAGACGAAATGTACCTAGCATTTCGAAGACTACTAAGAATCCTATCGACGTTCTGAAGGGGGTAGCTATCGTGCTTTGTGACTTCATTGAGTCGACGACCATCAAAGCAAAAACGATACTGGCCATCCGACTTTTTTACCAACAAAACAGGGCTACAATAGGGGCTGTTGGAGGGTTCAATAACACCTAATCTTAACATATCGTCTAGTTCCTTATTCAAGATTTCCATCATATATGGAGAAAGTACATACTGCTTTTCCTTGAAGGGTTTGGAATCTCCGGTGTCTATAGAATAACGAATTTTGTTCGTCCTACCTAACACTACTTCATCCCCGATTTCATTAAATTCGTTAATTACTTTTTTTGCAACTCTGATTTGATCTGCATTTAAATTACTGAGTTCCTTTCCGTCACTAGCGAGGAAAGAAAACTTCGGTTTATCATCATATACCATCAAGATTTTATTTGAATCTTGAACTTCCCATTTGTTATTTTTAAAATCAATTTTTAACTGAAAATTTCGACAAAAGTCACTACCAAGTATGATTTCATGATGAAGTGATGGAACGACCAGTGCTTTAATAATATGAAATTGGTCATGCAAATAAAGGGGGAGGTCAACGGCGCCTGACGCCCTACGTTTCGACCCATCTGCAGTTACAATAAATTTCATTTTATACGGAGGTGCAAACAGTTTGAGTGCTTTGATAAATCTTAAACCATCTCTACCTATAACAGTGGTAGTAGCTCCACTATCTAGGAGACATGCCACTTCCTGATCAAATATTTTAATTGGGATGTAAGGGCGATTGTCATGATGTTGCGTAATGAAAAAAGGAGCAATTTCCCCATAATTATTTCCCCTATCGGTATTATAAAAAGATTTCACCTTTTGTAGCCAATTGTTCCAATCACCTGGATTAAACATACTTTTAGAATTAACTGGAAACTTAAAGGCCATTTTGGATATACGCATGGAATCAGTTCGGCCAGGCAACCGATTCCAGCGACCTAGTTTTTTGGATTGTTACACTTGGGACAATTGGTCGACAAAAAGTCCCTTTCTCCGCAACGATAACAGAAGGTGCTCCGTTTGGCTTTACAAGAAGTGTAAGTATGATTTGGTAATCCGCAATTCCAACATACTATCTCTGAATTATGGAAGACCTTAGTTCTGTTCGTTTGAGCTGAAGAGGCGTTATTGCTGCACGAAACTGTTGACACTCGATTAGGTTTAAATTTAAAGTTAATTTTATTGGTAGCTGTCGGAAACTCTTTAGAATTGGGACCCTTATCGATACTTAATTGACTACTGTATAATAATTCGGGTTCTAAAAACGAAAAGCTATTGATTTTATCTTGGTTTTGACTCTTGTTTTTAAGATACGAGGCGTTTTCAATTTTTTCGCAACAATTAACCAACTGATCTAGATTATTAATTTCAGTTAATGCTAAGTGCGTGACATATTGAGGTAGCAAATTCTGTCTAATGTATTTGATCTTCGTTGCCTCCGCGGGAGATCTATCCAAACGACTAAACAGTGTCTCCATAACAGCAATAAAAATTGTGGTTGATTCTGCTTTGCCCTGCTTTCTAGCTTTTATGTCATTCCAAATTTCTTCCTCAAAATCTGGAGGTAAAAACTTTTGCTTTAATAATTTGACTAAATCATCCCACTCGGTAACTTTTGATTTGATTGTACGATACCACACAAAAGCTTTATCAACAAAAAGGTCACCGGCAGAAGCAACCAGATCTTTTTCTGATACTCCACGCGATTGGTGTAATGCCAAGACTTTTTCTAAAAAAGGATGCAATTGCCGCGGATCACCATTAAATTTCAAATTCCATTTATAAACCGGAATTACCTTATTACTAGTATGTATTACGGGTGGCACTGTAGGTTGGGCCATAATGGTGTTATTTAAGTTCACGATTTCAGGAAAGGTATTGGTTGCATTACCAACGGTCGCCTTATCGGATAGATCCGCTTCTAACGCAAGGCAAGTCGCATATGATTCATTTTTAAATTTTTGGATTTTTTCCAGTTGATCATCATCATCATCTGGAATTAGAATGCGCGAAATCCTACCAGAAACATGATTGAGACGTGATATGCCGCGCTTAAATGCGGAATCAATCTCATTCCCCTCAAATTCAGTTACTAAATTAGAAATGGATTCTAGCGTTTTATTAATCGCATCCTGCTCACGACCAAAATCATAAAATGGATCAATATGAGTTAAGTGACGACCTCTTTCTTTAGCCAACAATTTGTTTAGAATTTTTCGCTTGTCGTCTACTGGACGATCTGTAACTACTCCTCTAATTCTTAATTCATATTTTATTTCATCAATTAACAAATGTGAGGGCTTAAAGTCCTCCATGCCTATTGTTGCACAATTTCTTTTTTTTTTTTTTGCGATTTCAACACTGAACAATAAATGGACACATTAACGAAACCTCAAAAAAAATTTTTACACGACGCATCAACAATCTCAAAAATATCAGCGGGTATTTTGCTAAATTGGTTATCTACAAACTTGGTTTACAGGAATTTCCAATAAAATAAATTATTTAATACATATAAACCGCCACCTGCGTTCAAGGCCTTACACGTTGCGCGCCATTTGTAACATTTTAATTTTTAGTTGAATTTTTAGTCCAAAAAAAAAAGGAATTGTTACGTGCGCCGGCAGCTATCGTCGGTCTTGGGCTTATCGGTTCCCTTGAACACTGGGGCGTCTGGGCGCCACTCAACCTTAATGATAATAACAAATTTACGGGGTTGAGACCGTAACACAAAAACCAGTTTATTTACATCAATTAGAGTAGTATAAAAATGTGAAATTTTTTAATACTAAGAAGAGTGTTAGTAGATTGGTGATACTATTTACTATTGTACAGAAAAAAAAAACGGGGCCAATTTAGCAAACGATACCGTCTAAAAAAAATGGAACGAACTCGCCTTATTTTTGAGTCGCTATCTTATCTTCTGTGAAGTTGGAGTTGAACCATCCGCAATGTTGGCGTGAGATTCGGTGATTGGAAATTAGACAGTGTTGAAAAGAAACGCTGCTGTTTCTGTCGCAGTAAAAATCTGGATTCTCTAATTATTCTTGTGCAGGATATAGGCTCAATTCAATTTCTTATAGTACAAAAAAAAAAACCTGAAATAACGTATATTTGTAGTTGAATGCATTGTTAGTGAAAAAGAGGATCGCAACTCACCTCGATGAGGGTTTTTTCAAACACAAAAAAAATTACTACAAAATGTGGGCAGCTTGCGGCCAATAAAATCGGTATCAATCTGGTACGCCAAATACAATATTCGATCTCGTTCTCGTGGATCGCTCGCATTCCTTTTTCATTTCCACTTCTTATCGAAGTATATGCGCACAGTTTCATAAATTGATTTAACGTTATTTGTGGTAAGGGTACCATTGGTATAGGCAACCAAACTTGCATAAAATTAATTATATTTAAAAATAAATACTACAGTACATCTTTTTATGCCTCGTTTTATGCTCAATTACGGGAAGTCAGCTCTATTTGTTTTATTGAAGACGCAGTTCGTTATTCTTTATAATAAATCTGTGCAGAAGCAAGTTAACCAAAGCTGTGTAAAAAGTTTAACGCGGGTTGTCTGATTACGGAAAAAGTTTTGTCGAGTTGAAAAAGGAAGCAGCGGGGTAGTATGTTCAAACAAGCTTTTTAAGCTTTTCTTTCTTTCACGGATTTTGCTTTAATTTTGATTCATTGTGTTTCGGAATAAATTTGCCAACCAATTAATTGTGAATTTGTTACAGGTCCATTTTTAGTTTAGTTTTGTGTTATTTATTTTGATTTTTAGGTTAGGAATTTGTTTATTTTGTTTTGAATTTCATCTCATAGGCGTACCCATTTTTTAAAATTTCTTCTTTTGATTTCTTCGCTTCTTTCGATTTTTGCCTTCTTCTTACGGTTGTATTTACCTTTTCACGCTTTAAACGCTTCTTCTTTCCTTACTGTTTTCACTATTTTAATTTTCGAAGCTTATGTGTGCTATTTTATTCAATGTTACGCCTTTGATTCGTTTCAGGGCCATCTGTTGGTATTTCGTCTAAACTACGCTATTCTTTCCCGCTCTTTTCAAGAATCTATTCTTCGTTTCCCTTTTTATGTTCCTTAATTATTGGTATTACTGTTCGTTTTTTTTAAATCTTCTACGTTTCGTTTTCCGTTGTTTTCGATAATTGTCATTTTTCTGTAGTGTGCTTGTGAGGTGCGAAATTTTTATAGCCGCATTTATCCAACAATTTTTGGGATATTACCCTCTTAAAAGTCACCCTACTCAACAAAAAGGATTTAGTATCCGTCCTTTTAAACCCTATTTTGGGGATCAAGAGTAGTGGAGAGGCGCGCTTGTGTTTCCGAGTACAATCAATATAAATATTTTAACTCTTGCTCGCCGGATTTCAACCCCTTTTGTAAGTATTCGTGTTGTTCAGTGTCGTTTCTATTTCTTCGTTGCCTTTTTAGGATCCGAGCGTTAATTTACTACCACCAATTATAGCACCCAAAATATTATATTGTTTCTACATTTAAGGCCCACACCATCTCGTAAGTAGCCTTTTCGTGAGAGTTTTGCTTTGTAATTTTAGGTCTTGTTTTAGGGCCTTGTATTTTTCCCCTTCTTATTTATTCTACCTGTACCGTACTGCTTCAAACTCTTTGTCTTCCGTCGTTCGTCTTCAGTCTTCGTCGTCCGTCTTCAGTCTTCAGTCGTCCGCCTTCAGTCTTCGTCGTCCGTCTTCAGTCTTCTATCGATACCCTCAAATTTCTTTCCATTTGATCCCTTCTACCCTCTTCCCTATCCTTATTTTCCCCACACTTAGCCACTGGTCTACTCACCGAGTCTGCCGAACAACCGCTGGACAACTTCAGGAGCCAGGAAAACAGCTAAGCCCCTTCCAATTCACCGTTATTCACTTATGATTGCCGTTAAGTTTAATTAAAAAAAAAACCATTAATTCAGTCATCTTACCATCCGTTTAATTAATTATTTTAGTCACTTTTGTGTCTTACTGTGAGACGAGATCTCGTTCCGTGATTTTTTTTGCTTTAATTCCCTGTTATCGTTCCACTGCCATTTCTCATTCACCACCATTCGCCCTACAATAAAAATATTCCTATTTCACTACTTTTCTCTATTTTCTCCTCCTTATTTGTCTTGCATTTCCAGATCACCAGGAGCAGGGTTCTAGTTTTTCCTGTACGGCCAAATTAGTGGCGCCTAAATTCTCCGAGCAATTTTTTTCAGTTTCGTCGAACCACCCCATACCACCGAGAGCAGCTGGAGCCGTAATGCTAGATTCTTCCCTTCCTTCTAAATTTTCTTCGTCACAAATTTCGAATCCATTGTGCGACCCGGGTAGAGATTTCATGTCAGATTTTTTTTATTCGTGCCTAAGATTTATTTGAGGTGAGGTGTATACCTGGTTATTCTTAACCCAAAACTGCAACACTAATATTTTTTACAAATGCACAATTAGATTAGAAACCGACATAATGGATCAAAAGGAGTCCACTGATATAAATCAGGAGATAAAGAACGCAAAGACACTAAGCAGTGAAAATGGACACTCAGTAGCAGTTCTTATGATATTGTTCAGATGTTAATTTGAAAGAAAATGAACAAATTAGAACGCGGATGCGGTGTTTTGTATGTACAAAAAAAATTGCTTGGTAGATTAATGCATGAAGGTGCTGAATAGACCTCACCTTGACTTTACAGTACAAGCTCTCATGGTCAACAACGATGCCAAATGTAATCAGAACACGATTTGAAGCAAATGGGCATATTTGTAAACTATAAAATCGGCATCTTCGCGATAAAAACTGTACTGTAAAATAAAGGTGATGTAACACGGCTTAGTTACATTTACAGTAGTTAGAAACCCCTGTTGTAGAAAATAAATTTTGTTCTCTACGGCACTGGCACTTAACGACAGTCGTGGTATGACTGCCGGAAGTGGCAGCTTTACATGCCCTCCGAAGCATGGTAGTCAAGAGATGTTCTGTACCACTAAAAACTGGAAAGTTGTGGGATTCGAACTCGCAACCTATGAGGTTGGAATCCGAGTCCTAGACCGCTACTGCTACTTTGCGGAAGGTGGTTCTTTATGCCCATTATATAGTCAGAAAAATTACAACTTAATGCTCTGGTTTGATCACTCAAATAAATACTCATTGTTGAAAATAATCTCGTTCCAACTCCAGTCTTTTTTAAGATTTAATAAGTTAATATACTTTACGTAATTAATGCAAAATAAAGTTTCAAGCCCTGTATCGTGATCACGTTCAAATCTATTAATAACCTTAATAACCTAGAGGCTAGATTTTTTAAAATTCGTAATTAATCAAACACTTGGTACAAAATTATATTCAAGGCACCAGAAGGAGCAGACCTGAACCTGGTACGACACCAGGCTTTTAATGAAGCGTACACAGAGGCAAAGCCTAATGTTGCGACACTTCCATCCACCATCAAAGGAGACGTGCGACAATTTTAGATTGGAATTAACAAAACATTCGAGCACTATTAGTAAGCACCGTATCGACAGTATTCGCGACTTTTCCTTACTCTACCGATCACGGCCGAGTACGTTACAATCGTCATTTGATGCGACACCGTTGTTTTTTGGCCTTGAACGAAACTCATAACTTTGTACCCAGATACGAAAACATAAACACTTACAATGTTAAAAATGGCGTAGGGATACTTCAAAATTGCGCATGTGCATCCACTTTTAGGTAAGACGAACATGTTTGTTCGAATACACTTTGGAGATTTCGACAATTAAATAGTCATAACTATTTTTGAAATCATGAGAAAACTTGCAAACAGCTCAATTCTTTAAAACGTACGTTTCATGAAATTCTCAACATTTTTGTGGTCCGGACAAGAACTGCAGTATAGTCCTGGAAATTTAAACATGAAAAGGGGGTCGTGCTTGCAAAAGGTCCGGTCGTTCCCTGGGTCGTTCTGAATTTTTTATATGTTGTTAGGACCTAAACAAACAATAAAAAACCAGATTTGCAATTTCCAAAGCGCTGTGCGATCGGCGGTATATCCAAAAAACCATAAATTTTTCGGACTTTTTTCAGTTTTTACTCCATATCTCGGTGAAGGAAGGGTCTGATCGATATATTCATTCTGTAATCTTTTAAAATAGACTAAATTTTCTACAATTTGAGACTAGCGCGGGGTCTATACAGCCATTGATTCCCAAGATACAGTTCTTCGAAAATAGGATTTTTTTTAATGATTTTTTTTCAAAATGGCCACTTTTTTTGTAAAATATCTTCTAAAATACGAATCCCGCGTCAAATATTATATGAAATTATGTTGTAGCAATAATTAAGAAATATGTCTCCGCGAACAGAGCTATATTTTTGTTTCCCCTTCACATAAAAGAAGGATCCCGTGGCGAAAAAAAAGTTGGCGTTGCCCAGCACATTTAATTTATGCACTATCAGCAATGTTTGCCTTAAAAAGAGAAGCATCTGCGATTAAAATTTCAAAAAGATATCTCGATAAATAACAGTTGATAGTGCGCATCATGCGCATACGCGCATTAATCTGATGTTTACAATATACGATACGTTTGCTTACACTAAAAGCAACTTTGGTTAAAATTTCAAAGAAATATCTCCATCAATAAGAGCCGTTGCACAGTCTGCGCACACGCACAACTGTTTTTTACGATATGCGATATATTTGAATTCACCAGAAGTATCTGTGGTTAAAATTTTAACAAACTATATTAATAAATAAGGAAGTTGACATTGCGCAGTTTAATTCTCAGGATTTTTCTTGGCTCAGGTGCTAGAGCTATACACTACCGAATGCAAAAAGAACGAACTTAATATCTTGCAAACTGTAGGAGTAGTTAAGGCCTCGGACAGACGGACGGACCGAGAAAGTGACTGCAATAGCGCACCCAACTTCGTTGGAAAATGCGCTCTTGATCTTGAAAAAAAATCATTTAAAAAAAAAAATTCCTATTTTCCAAGAACTGTATCTTGGGAACCAATGGCTGAATAGACCTCGCAAATTGTAGCAAATTTAGTCTTTAAAATAAGATTATAGCGTGACTATACCGATCAGACCCTTCTTTCACCGTGATATTGAGTAAAAACTGATAAAAGTCCGAAAATTTCATGGTTTTTTGGATATACCGCCGATCGCACAGCATTTTGGAAATTGCAAATCTGGTTTTTTATTGTTGGTTTAGGTACTAAGAACATATAAAAAATTCAGAACGACCGGACCTTTTGCAAGCACGGATGTACATCTTGATTGGACTAAGTAGGAGTTTTTTTTTAAATTTTCAAAAATACACTTTAGATTTGTAATTTTGACGTTGAAAAACCTAGAATATAAAAAAGTTTCGCCGAAATCAAAAATTATTTTCACGCTTCCATTTAAGAGTAAGTAGTTTGGGGTATT